TGGCGGAGGCCGGCCATCTGGGCCCTCTCGCATGCATCACCCTCCCCGCCCACCCACCCGCCCCCGCCCCGCGTGCAGCAACGCATCAAGGCGCAGCTGGCCTGGCCCACCATCAGCAACGCCTCCAGCGTGCTGACCTGCGTGATCGACACGGGGGTCATGGTGAGGCGCAACTGACTGCGCGTGCTGGGCTGGCTGCGCCTCCTTCGTGCCTACCTGCCTGCCTGCCCGCCCCGGCGTTCTGCGCTGCCCGCTCGGCTGCCGCCGCGAGCCGCCGCCTGAGCGCTGCCCACGCCCCCGCTTGCCTGCGGCGTGCAGTGGAGCCACCCCGACCTCAAGCGCAACCTGCACCGCATGCCGATAGCGTATGTCAAGAAGAACACAGACGACAATGGGCACGGCACGCACGTGGCGGGCATTCTGGGGGCGGTGAGCTGAGCTAGCGGAGGTTGAGCTGGCAGCTGAGCTGCCTGGCTGCCACCTTGGCTTTTGATGTGTGAACAGCACGCGGCCGCTCAGCGTGGCACGGCGCAGCGCGCTGGCGCCGCACCCGCCTGGCTGCGGCAGCCTGCCGTGTGTGTGGCGGGTCCCTGCCCACCCTCAAGTCACACGCCGCCGCCCACCCCCCCGCACCCCCCCAGGTGGGCAACAACGGCATCGGCATTGCAGGCACCGCCCTGACCTCCAACGTTCTGGCCTGCAAGGCGCTGGACTCCAAGGGGCAGGGCACGGTGTCGACAGTGGTGGAGTGCATCGACGTGTGCAGGTGGGCGGCGCCCGCTGGCCGGCCAGCCGCCCGGCACCGCCCCTCGCGGGCTCCCCCTGGCCTGCCCGCCTTCCCGGGCACGACGGCGCCGGCGTGGGGCTGTGCGGGCTGGCCTGGCCTCCGTGCCGCCCGCCTCGCACCTCGCCTGCCGCTCTCGCACCGGCACACACCGCATGTGCCCCCACGCACTCTCTCATGTGCTCCCCGCCATGCAGAGCCAACCGCGCCGACATCATCAACCTGTCTGTCAACACCTTCTCCAACTCCCAGGCGCTGAGGGCGGCAATTAGGGCAGCCACCATGGGCGGCGCGCTCTTCGTCAAGTGCGCGGCCAGCCGCGGGCCGCCGGCGGCGCGGGCGGCGCGGCCCGGCAGTGTACAGGCCGCTGCCGGCACAGCGGGGCGCGGCCCCGGCCCGGCTGTGCTCCCTCGAGCTCCTCCCCCGGGGCTCCCGGGCCCAAGCCGTACACACCCGCAGCTCACTCCCCTCCTCCCTGCTTCGCCCGCCGCCCTGCCGCAGCTCTGCGGGCAACAACAAGTGGGATGTGGACACCTCTCCAGTGTACCCATCCAAGTACAACATACCAGGCCTGGTGGCGGTGGCGGGCACAAACACGAGCGACATGCTGGAGCCCAGGAGGTGTGCGGGGCGGGGCAGGGCGGCGCGCGCGTGCCTGCGTGAGCAAGTGCGTGCGCCATGCTGCCTGCGCAGCATGGTCGCCTGCGGCGGCATGCCGGCCGTGTCCGCCCTCCACGTCCCTCCCCTGGCACCGCTGCTCGCTCCAAGGCCGCGCCGCGCCGTGGAGGTGCCGCCCAGCCCCAGCTCAGCCTAGCCTCACCGGGCGTGTGCCCGCTGCCTGCGCTGCCCCACCCTTGCCGCGCCGCAGCAACTGGGGCGTCAAGACGATTGAGCTGGCTGCCCCTGGCTATCAAATCTTCTCCACCATCCTCCCCGGCTACAAGAGCTACAACTACCGGTGCGGCGGCGCCAGGCTGTACTGCTACGAGGACGGCACCAGCCAGGCCGCGCCCTTTGTGGCCGGCGCGGCAGCCCTGGCCAAGGCCGCCTCGCGCAGGCGCCTCTCAAACGTGCAGGTGGGTGGTGCGGAATGGTGGCGGGCGTGCCGCAGCTGCTGACAGCAGCCAGTGAACCCGGAAGGCCTGCCGGGTGATCCTCGACCTCCACTCCTGCTCACCCATCCTACCGTTTCCCCCATTCAACCGACCCACACTCACCTTCCCGCCACACACTGCATGCAGCTGGCCCAGCTGCTGATGGAAACATCAGACCCGGTGCCGCGGCTCAAGCGTAAGGTCACGTCTGGCGGCATCATCAACGTCAACAAGCTGATCCGCAGGGTGCTCCGGGTGTGCCCAGCAGGCCCCGGAAGGTGCCAGGTGTGATCAGGAGCGCCGGGAACGTGGCGGGCAAGCAGGCCTGGCGTCGGTTGGGGAGAGATGTACGTGCAGCACTGCACTTGCTTTGGTATTCCATACTTTTCATTTCAAGAGGGGACGTTCCAAATACTTCTTGTCCAATTTTTGATCGGCGTGCTTCTCTTGTGAAGGCGCAGCTGACGCGACAGCAACGTATCCCCCGAGGCGAAGCATAGTGCGCATGAGGAGGTATCGTGACACAGCATGGCAAGCAGCTTGTAGAGCTGGCTTTGGAGTCAACTGAGAAAGCCTCCAGCTCATCCAGAAGGAGCAGGGGTGCCGCCGGGCGGCGGCGCCCAGCTGGCGGCGGCTGTCATCTTCCCACACATGCGTTACATCGGCAAACGCCCCCTCTGCGTGCCAATCCCTACCTCCATATCGCTGCGCTCCTTCGTCGCACATCAACCCCCCGTTGTTGCGTTGAGTGTGCGGGCCATGCTGGCCCAGCGCTCTTCCACCTCGTATACCGCGCAGAAGGTCCAGCAGGATCGAATGCGGGGCGCGGGAAGAGTAAGCGCGCCGCCCCTGCTCGCCGCCACCGCCACACCGCCCAACCACCCAGCCTGCCGCCGCCGTGCCGCAGACCTGCACGCCCCGACAGATCGCTGCCCGCCACCCCCCTCACTGCCTGCCCCCAGGAGGCGGCGGCGCCCTCTCCCGACCGCCTGCTGACAGATCGCACCTCTTACATCGCATACCTGGAGTCTCAGCTGGAGCGTGTGTCGGCAGCCTGCCTGACCGTCTCCAGCTTTGACGGCAGGCTGGAGGAGGCTGTGTCTGCGGTGCGCCTGCTGGAAGACAAGACCCTGAACCTGGCGCGCCTCATCAGCACCGCCCAGCAGTTTGCCGAGCAGCAGGGGGAGTCGGTGGGGGAGGTGTGCCGCCGCCTGCGGGCCGTGGAAGCGCGGCTGGCGGAGCTGGAGCAGCCGGGGCGGGCCGCGGAGTGGGAAGACAAGCTGCGCGCAGGTGAGAGCCAGGTCGACATCATGCTATGCCCCTGTTGCATGCACTGCTTGAAAGGTCGAGCCCCGGCTTCCAAACCGTTCTCGCCTGCTGCCTGTGTTTGGTCCGGCTGTGAGTGCATCTCCCCACATCCCTCCTCCCTCCTTGCCCGCAGTGTCTGCCCGGGTGGACAGCCAGGCGGCGCAGCTGGAGGCCACGGCGGAGCAGCGGCTGAAGGCTGCGGCGGCGGAGCTGCAGGCGGGGCTGGAGGAGGCGTGCCACGGCAGCCACCTGCACTTGGAGCGCAAGCTGGGCGAGGCAGCCGGTGAGGCGCGCACACGCTGGCCGGCAGCGACGAGGGGAGCGCCTCTCGCATGCCTGCCGCCTGCCGCGCTGAGCTGTGCTGGATGCTTGCGCGCCGCCTGGCGCCGGCGTGCAGGCCGGCTGACGGAGGTGGAGCGCCGGGTGCGGGCTGTCGATGAGTATGCGCACCAGGCCGACCACGGCGCGGCGGTGGCTGATCTGGCGGGACGGCTGGGCAGCGTGGAGGACTCGGTGGCGCATCTGGCCAAGGTGGGGAAGGGGGGTGGAGGTGGATCGGGTGCGGTATCCCATGTGTGTGTGAGCTTGCCTGCCAGGGTAAATCTGTGCACCTCACATATCACCCCAGCATGCCGCTGCCCCACCCGTGGGCTGCCCCCCGGCTCCCGCTGCAGTCCGATTGCGGCATGAAGAGCACGCTGGGCTCGCTGCAGGCGGCGGTGGGCCAGCTCAAGACCGCCATGGTTGCTGTGGAGCTGCGCCCGCTGGGGGCCGCTGCCGCCGACAGCGCCGACTGCCTGCAGGCAAGCCGCGCCTGCTGAGCGCAAGGCCCGCAGCACTGGGTGGTGCGCCCAGCAGGTTCCGCGCATGCTGCTGAGCGTGCTGTGCCCGCTGCCGCTTGCCCGCTGTGGCGACCTGGGGCTGCCAGCCGCTGAGGGACCCCAGCATTCAACGTCCCCGCTGCTGCCGCACTCGCTGCGCACAGTGGCTGGAGCGAGCTCGGGAGGCGCTGAGGCGGGAGGTTGCCGACATCCAGCAGCAGCACGGCCAGCTGGCGGCGGGCCTGCACTCGGTGGCGGCGGCAGCCGCTGCAGCGCCTCAGTCGCCACAAAAGGCGCTGGCAGCCCAGGTGCTGAGCGGCCTGCAGAGCAGCATGCAGCAGGAGGTGGGCAAAGAGGTGCAAGCGCTGCAGCTGGCTGGTCAGATGCTGGCCAGCGTGGCGTCCTCCTTTGCATCCAAGCCCTCGCCGCCAGCCGGCGTGCCTGGCCACCAGGCGCCGCATGGCGCCACGGAAGCGCCGGCGGCGGCCGACGCGAGCGACGTGCCGGGGCCAGCCGCCAGCAAGGCAGCCAGTGCCGCAGAGAGCGGCGCGAGCGCAGACGCGAGCAGCGGCGGCTGGACGATTGCGGCGGTGCCCGCGGCTTCCGCTGACGTGGCCGCGGCAAAGCCTGTGAGCCAGGCGCAGGTGGCCTACCCCCCAGCCCCATCGTCCCAGCAGGCGCTGTCGGCGGCAGCAGATGGCGCACTGGCTCAGCTACAGCAGCTGGCTGGCGGCGAGCAGCAGCTGGCGCAGGCGTCCCTGGCGGCAGCGGCAGCCGCGGGCGGCGCTGGCGGCGGCGGCGGCCTGCGCAGCAGCCTCGGCCAAATGCAGCAGATGCTGCACTCTGTTCAGCAGATGCTGCAGCAGGACGCACCAGCGCAGCAGCAGCAGCCACCGCAGCAGCAGCAGCAGCAGGCTAGCGAGCCAGGTCAGTGGCAATGTGCTTCTTTTGGGGCTGTCTGCTGCTGGTGCAGCTGTGGGGCCCCTGCACCACCCCTCCTCACCCACCTGTGCCCAACGCAAACCGCCTGATTGCCTGCAGGCTATCAAGCCGCCGCCGTCCGCTACCTCAGCCGAAGCTCAACGCTGCAGCGAGGCGGCCTGTTGACCAAAGGTGGCGCTGTCCAGGCCAAGCAGGCATGGGTGCCCGGCGGCAGCAGCACCCCGGCGGGGGTGCCAGCGCCAGCGCCAGCAGCGAGCCGTGCGCTGTCTTACCGGCCCACCAGCGCAGGGGCGGCTCTCTGCGGCAGCGGTAGCAGCGCAAAGGAAGCGCTGCGGGAGAGCGTTCTAGGGCACAAGGCGCTGGCGGAGCGGCGCAAGCGGCTGCAGGAACTGTATGCTGAGCTGCAGCAGCAGGCCTGAGGCATGCGGCCGGCCCGGCAGAAGCCACGCGTGCGAGCTGCGAGCGTGGTTGCCAGTTGATTGTAGATTGCGCGTTGCAATGCCCTCGGTTGGCGCAAGGAAGGAGGGGTCAGTTGAGTGGTAAACAGATAAAAAGCAGAGAAGCGGCGATGAACAGGATAGGAGCGCAGAAGCCGCAGAGGGGGGAGGCACAGGGGAAGTACTGAGGAAAATTCATGGGTTGGGGGTTCTGAAAATGGTGGTGGAGCAAACGAAGGGGAACAGCGTGGTTGCAAGGTGTGGTTTTCTAGTCTGTAGAAACGGCAGCCAACCGCCCGACGGTCATTGCCACGTCTCTATGCCCATCTTGTCTGGCTCCACGGCACGCCCCTCCAGCGGGAAGGGCGGCATCTTGCCCTCCTTGGCCAGCTCCTTCACCCGCTGCTCCAGCTCCCCACACACATCCTTGTCGGTGCAGGGGCAGCGGTGGGCAACCTGGGGCAGGAGGGGGCTCAAGTGGTGGCAGGGTCAGCAGGGGAGCTTGGCGGGCACTAGCTGCTGTGAGGGTGGCTAGGGAGAGGCGGTGCAGCCGGGCAATGGAAGTGGTGGGCGGCCGTGAAGGGCAGTGGGTGCAGCCCCGTCCAGTCCAGCTCTGTGCCACCCACCTGCACGTCGGGCTGCAGCTGCAGGCAGGGTCGCCGCGCAGCGCCCTTCTCCCCTCCCTTCACAAAGAACTTGTGCTGCGGTGGAGAGGAGCGGGAGCAGTGGGCCTCCATGCACCAGACCTCTCGATGCATCGACAGCGCTCACCCCTGCCTGCCGAGTCGACCGGCTGCATGCGACCAACAGATGGTGCACCCGCCCGGCGCACACCTCCCAGCCCTGGCTTCTCACCCGGACATCGTAAGTGGGTGGAACCAGGGCCGCGGCGCTGCCGATCTTTGCAAACCAGGGCTGCCGCTTGAAGGCCCACAGGTTGGTGTTGTGCCCAAAGGTGGACCGGAAGCTGTGGGGATCCAGGCCCTCGGGCAGCGCGCCGCAGCCTGCGGCAGGCCGACATGGTCGGGCAGGGCAGGCAGCAAGGTGGGCGATCGACGAAGCCCGCATCCGGCGTGCTTGGGCGCAGGCTGCCACCAACTCACTAAAGATGGGTGGCTTGGAGCCCTGCAGCTCCTGTGGCATGGGGCAACCCAGGGTGTGCTCCTGCAGCCGCCACGCATCCTCTATATCTGCCACCAGCCCGGCCTGAGTCACCTGCACGGCCGGGGCGCGGCGGCACACAAAACAACTGGCATGTGGGTCCTGCACCAGGTGCCGCTCTGCCAAAGGCATGCATTACGCCGGTACCCCTGGCAACGCGCGTTGCGCCAGCACCGGCGGCTCCCGCCCTCCCTCCCACCTCCTCCATGGCCGGCAACTCCTTCTTGCCCTCCCACTCGGGCCACTTGTCGCGGAACTCATACTCCAGGTGCAGGATGGTGTAGTTGGCACGTACCAGGCTGCGCGGATGGCGAGGGAAAGGGGTGGCGGTGGCAAGAGCAGCAAATCAGTGGGCAGGCTGCCAGGGTCGCAGCGCAGAGGTGTGCAGGCCGCCCCCATCGGGCGCCCCGGGCCTCACCCCATGAGCATGGTCGGGTTTTCTTCCATCCACTGCCAGTCCGCGTTCCTCTCTGCACCGGTTCCAAGTGCAGTGGAGAGGGGGGGTGGGACTCAGCGGCGGCACCTGGCGAGGCGGCATGCAGGTGTGCTGCGAGACAGCACGCCGTGCCAGGCTGCTGCAGGAGCAGCACTTGCCTGCCACTCCTGGTGAGTACTCCATGAAAATGTGCTTCACCTCGTGCTGCGGAGCACAGAGTAGCAGCAGGGCTTGGCATAATGAAAGGAAGGCAGGAGGAGCAGGTCTAGCAGGTCGGGCCACCAGCAACCCCACAGCCTGCAACCCTGCCCCCCCCCACCTGGAGCAGCAGGCCTCTCGTGCCGCGCAGGATGCTGGGCTCGAAGCCTTCCACATCCACCTGCAGCGCAGCCGGAAGAACACGCTGCCGGTGTTCCAGGCGGCAGCGCGCGCCCAAAAGCAATGCAGCACCTCCTCCCTTCCAAAGTGACCGCTGGTCCTGCCATCCAGCAGCCAGCCGGCCTGATGAGAAGCCCTTGCCTCACCTTCATGATGAGCACATCCTCCTTCACCACCTCATCCACCCGCTCTGTCGCCTTGGTGACGTTGACATACGCGCCTTCGTTATCGATGGCCCTGCAGGGGGTAGCACCAGCAACGGGACGTGGTGACTGAAAGGTGAGACCCAGAGCTGGTGGGCCGCCGCCAGCCAGCCCCGCAGCGCCCGCAGATGCCGTGGCTGTAAGCATCCCCCGGGCAGCGGCGGCGGCACCGCTCACTGGTCCAGGTTCTTGCCGTCGATGCCGGCGGTGCCCCAGATGCCGCGCTGCGGGGCCAGGATGGTGCGCGGTGTGCCGCTGCTGTTGCTGACAATGCCGTCCCGCAGCTGCGGGGCAGCGAGCGCAACGAAAGGACGGGTGCATGGCAGAGCGCAAAATGTACCGCTGCAGATGGCGTGCCGGTACCAACCTGCCCGGCCAACGGCACCAGCCTGCTTCATGCGTGTGCAGCTGGAAAGCGGGTGTCGGGGCGCACCTCCACCGCTCGCGTCATGTTGTTGCGCAGCAGCGCATACTTGAAGTAGGCGGCAAAGTGGGGAACTGGCTCCCAGGCCACCACCCGGCAGCCCATGGAAGCCGCCAGCAGCGAGTAGTAGCCAAACTGGGGAGGCGGGCAAGGTGGGAGCAGCAGGCGGAGGGGCGGGAGCAGCCTTGGGTGGTCGAGCAATGGCCAGCGCCAGGCCCCCCCCAGCACGCACGTCAGCAGCACAAGCAAGCTGGGCGGCAGTGCAGCAGGCACCCTCGGTCGGCCAGCCTTGGACAGCAGGCAGGAGCGCAGGGCAGCAGGCTCACGTTGGCCCCCACGTCCACCACCAGCCGCCGCTGGTCCTCCTGGTCGATGCACTCGCCCTTCAGGAGGTTGTGCCTGTAGGGGAGGGTGGGATACTGGTCATGGCGGAGTGGGCACCAGGACAGGGCAGGCAGCTGGCAGCAGCACAGCCTGGGATGAGCAGAGGCGCAGCTGCTGCTGCCTGGTTGGCGCCCTCACCAGATCCAGGTGAAGCCGTGCTCGAAGAGGGCGTGGTTGTGGATGTAGGCCGACACATCCACGTCCTTCTGGGGGTCGGTGTAGGCGATGAAGAAGGGGCGGGGCGTGACGGTCTGCCGCACAAAGACGCTGAACTGCAGCGCAGACAGGCAGGCAGGCGGCGGGCATGCAGCCATCAACGGCTGGTGGCGGCGGCGTGGGGTGCATGTGGCGGCACCGCCGCCAGCATAACAGTGACAGCATGTGCGAGATAAGCGGATCTCACGTTGCTGCTCGCCGCTCGGATCTCTTTGATGGGCCGCCACTTGAGCGCCGCGTCCGTGGCGGTGTGCAGCTGCGCATGGAGGGGCGCGGCCGTGGTGAGGCAGGGGCACAGCGCAGCGGCCCAGCACCGCGCATGGGCTGCATGGGAGGCTGCCCCCGCATGCGCCGCCCGGCGTCTGTGCTCACCCACGGCCCGCAGTCGCCGCAGTCTGTGCCCAGATCGCAGAGCACCTCCAGCGCGGCGTTGGCGGGGTCCTGCTCCACCCGCTGCCTGCTCCAGGCATTCTGCACCGTGGCCCGCCCCTCGTTGCACACGCCGTTGCGCGTGAAGCCCGCACACGAGTCCTCGCACTTGTGCCTGGACGGCGCGTACCCCTCCCCCTGCCACACCAGGCTCGCGTTGCCCGCCGGCACCGCGCGGCGGCCCCTCTGCGGCGGCAAGGAGCAGTGCACAGGGTGTGCACACGGTGGTGCAGGCTGGGGCGATAAACAGGTGCTGGCGAGGCATGCGGCACGACCCAGGCAGGCGGCACAGCAAGGCGGCAGACACACCAACCATCAAGTGCACCTTGCTGGTTTTCTTCCACGGCAGGCTGGAAGTCATGCCGATGAGGTAGCCACCGGCCAGGCACCCCACGGCCACCAGCAGCATCAGGTGCAGGGGCCCCAGCCGCGCCTTGGCCACGTGCTGCGCAGTGTAGAGCTTCGCCATCCCGGCGGCGGCGGCGGTAGCTGTGGGTGCCCCCTCAGCTGCGCTGCCTTGCCTGCGGCAATCTCAGCGCCTCGCCAAGCACCGTGAGGCCTCCTTGGCTGCGGCAGGGAGGACGGGCGTTCCTCCGCTGCCAACTGCGACCCTCAGTACGCGCCCTGCCGCATTTCACGGCAATCCACAAGCTTCAATTCGTCTCTGCACAGCTTACGAAAGCATCCAAAGCCAAGGCGGAGCAAGAGTTGTGAACAGTGAAGGGCGCAAGGCGCACAGCGACACTGCAACGCCTGCTGGGTGCCTTCGATCGACAGGCAATGCCTGATGGAACGAGAGGGAGCCATAGACATTGTGATTAATGGCAGTCCTTGCCGCGCCGCCTGGCTGGCGCCGCCAACGGCATGGGTCCCCATTGATGGGTGCGGCAATCCGGTGCGTAGCCTAAGAGATGAGGCCCTAGAGACTTTGATTGACCCTGCTGCTGCTGAGAGCGATACTCATATCTTGCAGAACGGTTTGCACATTCGTCAGTCGCAGTCGGGCGCCGCCGCCGACTCGCGCAGGCAGGTGAGGTAGCGCGAGGGGCTGAGCTCGCACGCCTGCACCGCCGCCGCGCCCACAGTGAGCCGCAGCTGGCAGGCAGCCTGCTGCAGCGCACGCAGCTCCATGCCCCGCGCCACAAAGCCGCCCACAAACACCACCCCTGCGGGCATGGGGCAGCACGTGCGGCGCAGCAGGGTTGCTCGACCGCTCAGGCAGCCACAGAGTCCTGCGGCGCATCGCTCGGGCTGGCACAGGCCCCCCAAGGCTGGGCCCTCAGCCACCCGCCCACCTGCCCAGCCCAGCGCCGTGCCCATGCCTCCCAGCAGCGCCAGGTGGTGCGCCTGCGCCTCTGCCGCCGCCCGCTCCGCCCACCAGGGCTGCGCCGCCAGCGTGCCCAGGCAGCCAAGCCCGGCGGCCCACAGGCCGGCAGCCAGGCGCAGGGAGCGGCGGCGCCCCCGAGCCATGCCCAGCGCCGTCTGCTCGATTGAGGCCGCCGCGTGCTGGAAGGGCTGCGGCCGCCGTCGCATCAGCTCCGCCAGCGTCAGCAGCGCGGCGCTGCGTGGCGCCAGCGGCCGCGCCTGGGGCGAGCCGCCGCCGCCGCCTTCGCCGCCGCCGCCGCTGACCAGAGTGAACTCTGCGTCTTCGTCGCTGCTGGCGCCCGAGCCACTGCTGGCGCCGCCTCCCAGGCTCAGCGTGGCTGCCACGCCCACGTGGTCTGAGTAGCTGAAGCCAAGGCCAGTGTCAGCCAGCGCCAGCTCAGCGCTCACCGCGGCACACGTGGACAGGACGTAATCGATGCGGCTGGGCGTGTGGCCTGCCCCCGCCGCTGCAGTAGGGGAGGCCTAGGCCAGCCGAGGAGTGGGCACACATGTGGAGATACATACATACATGTATGCTGCAACAGATCCCGACGGGTAGGTAGGCAATCAGGGCCCAATCCTGCACCCCATCCCAACATCACCACACCCACACATCCAGGCCCAGCCCCGCCCCCACACCCACTCGTGAAGCTGTTCTCCAGCGCGTTGGCAGTGGCCCCCAGCCGCAGCGGCTGCGCCTCCGCCCACGCATCCCGCAGGTGTGGCAGCAGTGCCTGCAGCGAAGCGGGCGGCCAGGGCAGCAGCGGGGCGGGATGGGCGCAGCCCGGCAGGCGGCTGAGGCGCCGCGCGTGGCGCAGGTAGGGCTGGGGGCAGCCGTGGGGAGCAGCTGGGGCAGCAGTACAGCCAACTGTGCCGCCCGAAGGAAGGGAATCAGCCGGAGGGAGCAGCTGGGGCAGCAGGCGCAGCAGGTGCCCACCTTGAGCAGCGCAAGCTCTAGAGTGTCGGGCGCGGCGTTCAAGTCCCCAGCCAGCACAGTGGCCGCGCTGCCCCTGCCGTGGCTGCGCACAAACGCCGCCAGCTCAAGCACCTGCGGACAGCGGGGCGCAGCGCGGCACGATGACCAAGCGTGCGCAGCAGGCCGCACATCACTCCACAGGGTGGAAGGCTCCGCTGCCGCCATGTAGCTGGCACTCAAACGATGAGCAGCCGTGGTGCGCAGCCCCAGACACACCAGCGGCGGTTGGCACAGACCTGCAGCAGGCGCACTCCCGCCAGGCTGTCCCGAGGCAGGCGGCAGTGCGGCGGCAGCCCCCTGGCCCCCGTCTGCCACCGCTGCCCATAGTTGGCGCTCAGGTGTGTGTTGAACACGCTGATGGTGCCGGCCGGGGTGTCCAGGGCAGCCCAGCCCACGCCTGCAGCAAGGAGACGCAGGCGCAGGGAGCTGTTGGAAAAAGCTGCACTGCCCCGCTTTCTAATAAAGGTCAAGGCAAAGGCTCAGGATAGTCATCCATTGCTGCCGCCGACGCCCCAAGCTCCCCACCTTTCCCTGCAAAATAATCGCCATTCAGCACAGCAAACGGGTCGCCGCGGGCGGTGTAAGGTTGGAACGCGACCTGCGGTTTGTTAGGCCGGGCGCAGGGGGGCCAGCCTCGACATGTTGTGCTGCACGGGGGGGTGCGAGCGGCTGCAGCATGCCGACTGCTGGTGCCACTGGCTGCGGGTGGCTGCCTGGCTCCGCAGCTCCGCAAGCTCCTCTGCCTGGCGGCGCCTGGGTGCTTACCTGGGCGATGCGGAAGCGGCTGAGCAGCAGCAGGCCGCTGCCGATGGCGCCACACAGGAAGTGGAAGCTGTGGGGCAGCCCGCCCTCGGCGGCTGCCTGGCGCAGCAGCTCCACATCGGCCGCCACCCACACCTCCTGGAGCAGCATCACGTCGGCGGTGCAGGCGGCGCTGCAAGCAGCATCACATCGGGGGGTGCGGGCGGGGCAGCCTCGTGGGGGACAGCGGCAGCATGCGGCGCATGGTGTTGGGCTGGGACTGTCTGCAGCGCTGCGCTGCTGCCTTCCATTTGTTGATTCCAGGAGGTACAAACATAGCGGGCGTACAGGCAGGAGTCAATGAGGTGCACAGATGCTTGCCTGCGCAGGAACTGCGCCAGCGCCGCCACCCGCTCCTGCCGCCGCTTGGCCACCACCCACAGGCCCCATGCGTTGAGCGTGATCACGCGCAACTCCATTAGTGCAGTGCTCTTCATCTGGCCACTGCTCGCCACTGCTGGCAGCGCCAACTCGCTGCTAACACGCTCTCGCCGGCTGGGACGGCCGCTGGTGTGGAAACAACTAGAGAACAATGGTCTGTGATTGCCACACACGGCTGGACGTTGCGGCGCTCCCGGGCTCTTTCAAGCTCCCCGCCGTACCGCGCACCGTAGCATGCGCCGCCTGTGCAAGGCTGGCGGAGATTACACGGGAGCGCCGCATGCAGCCTCAGCACGCAGTTTGTGTTACAGGTCGCACATAACAGCACCGAGGGATCGCTGGCGGCTGGCAGGCTGCCAGCGGCGCTGCACCAGCAGAGCCTGCCGCGGCCAGCCGGGCGGCCGTCACCACGTCTCTATCCCCATCTCCTCAGGCTTCACGACATCATCAGCCATGGGGAAGGGCGGCAGCATGCCCGCCTTGGCAAACTCCCGCACCTTCTTCTCCTGCTCCCCGCACACGCTCTCTTCCAGGCAGGGGCAGCGGTGCATGACCTGCAGCACGGGACAGCACAGCCGGGGCATGTGGGAACGCGGCCGGCATCAGTGGCGGTTGTGGAGGCAGGCAGCCACTCTGCGGAGCATGCCAGGCGTGGGGGCAGCGCCGGCTCCGGCATGGCAGGGTGCAGCAGACTGGCTGCTGGTTACCTGTGAGTGTGCCTCCACATCTTTGCACAGCCGCGAGGCTGCGCCAAACACGCCGCCAGGTATGAAGAACTCGTGCTGCAGGCAGAGCCAGCCACATGGGCGACGTGTTGCTGCCGGATGGAACACGACAGCGCAGCAGCGCAGCGCAGCGCAGCGCAGACTTCAAATGTGAAGGCATGGGAGAGCTGCAAGCCAGCTGGCCCGCACCTGGATGTCAAAGTCTATAGGGGCCAGCGAGGCGGTGCCATTCAGCTTGGAAAACCATGGCTCTGCGCAGCGAGCAGGTGGCAAAGGGCGCGAGGTATCAGCGCGAGAGGCCGGCACAAAGGCTCGTCGGCGCACAGCCACGCAGCGCAGCGGAAGCCTCACTCTGCTTGAAGGCCCACACGTTTGTGTTGTGCCCGAATGTCGAGCGGAAGCTCTGCGGGTCTATGGCCTCTGGGATGGCCTGCGACCTGCAGGCTGCAGGCAGCGGGGGCCATGCGGGAGCGGCATGAAGGGGCGGGTCGTGGCATGGGGCGCGTGGCAGCACGCTGCGCTCCTGGCACCAGCTGGCGCAGGCCGGGAGCATCGGCCATGGGGTGGTGAAAGATGGGATGGGCAGGTGGTGGGCCACCACGGCGGCAACGAGCGCCCAGCAGGGCCGCACAGAGCCCGCCCTGCCTGCCCGATCCTGGGCGGCGGCGCTCACTGAACATATAGACCCCCTCCATCGCCTCCAGCACTTCCTCTGCCGTCCTGTTGGCGCAGCCCAGATCGTGGTTCTGTAGCCGGAATGCGTCCCAGATGCTGCAGCGCGGACAGGGAGGGATGGTTGAGCACAGCATGGTGAGCGGTTGGAGGGGTAGCAGGTGGTGGGCGCTGGCTGCCACTCACTCGTGCTTCAAAACCTCGCTCATCACCTGCACCGAGGGAAAGCAGCAGCTGGGGTCAGGTGGGGCCAGGCGAGGCACGGTGAGGGGCAGATGCAGAGCAGGGGAACGGGCAGGCCAGCACGGGGTTGCAGCGGCTGAATGGCAGCATGGAGGGCGAGGCAGCGGGGGCGGCTGCTTGCCTCCTCCACCTCCGGCAGCTCCTTTGTTCCCTCCCAGTCGGGGAAGTGCTGGGCCATGAAGGCCAGGTGCTGGATCCGGTAGCCGGCCTGAAGCAGCCTGTACACGCAGAGCAGGCGGCGCACGTGAGGGAGCGCTTGCACCAGGACGGGCACCGAGCTGCGGCGTAACACACAGGCAGGCAGGAACGGGGCGGCTGTGCGGCATGCAGGGTGCCCGCCTCAGCTGTGCCCGCTCACCCCATGAGCATGATTGGGTTGCTGACAAACCAAGGCCAGTCCCTGTGCCGCTCTGCAGCAGGGCAGAGGGGGGCGGTCAGCGGGCCACAGACCAGCGCCGGGTGACGCAGCACCCAGGCAGCTCAGGCTGGTCACCAGGGCAGCAAGCGACAGGCATGGGCGGCAGGGTGCGGGCGAGGCCGTGAGGCGGCCCGCAGCGGGCCAGCAGCCACTAGGGCGCACGGCGGGGCAGTTGTGCGGGTGTAGCAGCCGGGCAGGCTTGCCTGCCACTCCTGGTGAGTACTCCATAAAGATGTTGGCCACCTCGTGCTGCACAGCATCGGGGCGGCATAGTTTTCAGAACGGGCTGGGCAGGCCACAGCAAAACAGTGGCCATCCCCCATGCCACGCAGCCAGTGCGGGCACTGGGGCGAGCCAGCCACCGGCCGTGCGCCGTCCCCGCCGCACCTGCAGCAGCAGGTCTCTTGTGCCGCGCAGCACGCTGGGCTCAAAGCCTTCCACATCCACCTGCAGCGCAGCCGGGCGGGTGGGCAGCGTGCGGGACAGCAGGGCAAGCTGGCTGGCATGCCTCCCGCCTCCAAGCAAGCACGAGTGGTACCGGCCAGCCAGCCATCTGCAGGCCGCTCAGCCTCACCTTCATGATGAGCACATCCTCCTTCACCACCTCATCCACCCGCTCCACTTTGCGAGTGAACTTGTCGTAGTCGCCGTCGTTGGCAATGGCCCTGCAGGGGGCAGCACCAGCAGCGGGTGGCAGCAACCAGCGCGAGTCGGAGCTGGCAAGCGGGATGGAGGGATGGCACGCGGGCGGGCAGGCGGGCAGGCACCCATAGCGCTCAGCGGGGGCAGGCGGGCAGGCACCCGTGGCGCTCAGCGGACAGGACAGCAGCGAGGCGCACCCGTCGATGTTCTTGCCGTCGATGCCGGCGGTGCCCCAGATGCCCCTGTTGGGCACCTGGATCGTCAGCTCCCCTCCGCTGCTGTTGCTGACGATGGCATCCCGCAGCTGCGGGGCAGGACAGCGGGGCGGGACGGGGCATCAGCGGCGGCACGGGGCATCAGCGGCGGCACGGCTGTCGCGTGCACGTCCTGCCGCCCCTCGAGCACACGCCACACCGTCCCCACACCGTCCCCACACATCACACCCAGCCATGCATGTGCACCACAGCACCCTCCCCACCTCCACCGAGTGTGTGAAGTTGTTGATGAGCAGCCCATACTTGAAGTAGGCGGCAAAGTAGGGCACCGGCTCCCAGGCCACGACGCGGCAGCCCATGGCGGCCGCCAGCAGCGAGTAGTAGCCAAAGTTGGCGCCCACATCCAGCACCAGGCCCGGCCTGCCGCCGCCCCGCGGCGCGCACCCCTCCCGCAGCAGGTTGTTCCACACCCACGTGAAGCCGGGCTCCAGCAGGGCGACGTTGGCCAGCTGGGACGACACGTCCACGTCCTGGGCGGGGGCGTGGTGGCAGGGGCGGGGCGCGGCGTCGATGCCATGGCGGCACACCCTTTGCCTGACCAGGCGCAGGCGCCGTCGGCAGCGGGCGCAGCGGCAGCAGCACGCACAGCGGCAGCGGGAGGCGCAGCCACACCGGCACGGGAAGCTTCGGCAGCAGGCATAGCGTCGGCAGCGGTAGGCCCCACTGTTCCGCCCAAAGGCAGGAGCAGCCAGGTAGGGTATGGTGCGATCAACAGCGGCGGCTGGCGCAGCGGCGGCTGGCACCTGGGCTGGGTCTGTAAAAGCCATGTAGAAGCCAGAGGGGTGCTGCGTGTGGCGAGTCATCACCGTGTACTGGGGTGGGGAGGTGGGGGCAGAGGGGGCGTGTGGGGGGGTGAGA